TATATTCATCATCACTAACTTTATCATATCTATTTAGAGTTGGCTTCATCAATCCTAATATCTTAATTATTTAGCACTTTCATATGGGTTGCTTAATATGAAGTATTATGAATGCAAAGTAAAAGGTTTGCAAGGTTTTTTTTTTTTTTTTTTGGTTTGGGGAAATGCAAAATAGGGGATAAAAGGTTTGCAAGGTTTTTTTTTTTTTTTTTTGGTTTGGCGAAATGCAAAATAGTGGCAAAATAAATTTTGACGAATTTTAAATACCATAAAAATCTAAATTTAGCTGCAAACACAATTTGCTCATTTTGAGAGATTTTTCCTTTCTTCATTGACTTCCTTCGCCGCACAACCACGAACATCTACTTTGTGTAAACTTAGTTCAACTTTTCCTTCATCGTTTTCACCTCCAAGTTCATCAACACTTACACTTCCAAGTCACACTTCTCTATTGAGCTTGGAATTTAATTCGCCTCAAAGCCACACTTATCCACCAAGTTCAGAATCGTTCAATTTAGACTTAATTCTCCTTCATACAATTGTAAAGCACTCTGCCAAGTTCTCTGAAAATGTTACACCCAAGCTAGCATATATCATCATCACCCTCTGCTATCCTTCCAATAATAGCTCTTAACATCCAGTAAATCCTTTTTTTATTATTATTATTTAAGAGTTGAAGAGGCAAATTTAACACATCATTTTGGTTGAATGTCAAACTTTGAACTTCACATCCAACAAAATAGAAAAAACATTTTCAATGTCATAGCTTTGGGTAATCAAAATGCATTGCATTAATTTTCACAGCATTCTTAAAATACATAAATTCAATCTACCATCTAGACTTCAAAATTAAATGGTTAAATTTTGCTAATCAAACCATTGCAACACCCACATGACCCTCCAAACCTCAATAATTATCCCATTTATACATAAAGCTTTATCTTTATGCATATAGACTATAATCAATGTGAGTTCAATTTTTTAATCTATAACAATAACGCATCAATTTATTATTTATGATCTTAAAATAATTTTTCTTAAAATTTTCATGAGAATTTTCTTATAAAATTTTACAAAGAATGCACGGTAAAAGTAAAACATTGAAATCTCAATGTAACAAGGTTTTTAAATTTCTTAGTTTTAGTTTTTATAGATTTATTCAGAAGCAAGAAATAAAAAGTTCATCAAAAAAGTCACTATTTTAAGAATAAATTTGTTCATATAAATATGTAGATCATGACGTCGAGAAAACCTACGAGTTAAATTGTATTTTTTACAGCTAAAGACAAGTCAAATATATTTGGCACAAACTACTCTTACAAATGCACAAATTTCAATACAATAAAGGGGTGTACAAGTATTTTAAGATATATTTGAATGATTCTCGAAAGTAATTATTCGGGGTAATAAACAGATCTAAATCAAAGAGAGGATAATAACTTTCTTTGAGTTACATTAATAACAGATGCAATAGTTCTAACAGCAAACTTGTCATATTTCTCAATATCCAAAGAATAATGTAAATGCTTATAATATCTTCAGTGCTATAGCTTAATTCGCCATTAATTTCAAATCTAGGACCTTTGTGAAACAGATGAGGGGCACATAATAGTCTACAGACATAATATTTAATTACAAAACATCTCAACCTTGCATAATATTGAAAAACACCATAATCATTTATTTCTAATGGTTAAGTTGATCGTCCAATTGATACATATTTTCAAGAAATACTAAATATTGCTCTTTAATTTTATGTTTTATGTGTCGATTCATTTTAATTAGTCTGATTTAAATGTCGTGAACCAGACCCAAGGGGAGTAAACCCAACCCGAAACCCAAACCCAAATCTGATCTATTTGGATTGAAAATATGAACCCAAACTCAAAATGTTTGACCAACATGAATTGGATCATGATCACATGGTGTTTACACGCCAACACAAAAAAACATAAAAACTAAATATTTTTCAATTAAAAAGCACTAAAAAATAATACATTTATCAAATGTGCTAAATTTAGGCTTAAGGGTTGATCCAAACCCAAACACGACACCTTTTTTTTTTGGTAGGCTAAAAACTAACAATCATTCAAACTGAATCTTAACTGAGCTGATCTAAACCCACAACTTCCATCTCTATCTCAAGTTACTTTTCATGTTAGAATCAACACTGACAACTATAATACCAGTAGCAAAGCTTCGTCCAAATGATTCAGAAAGTCCATTAACTTTCATTTGCCAAATTTAATCTCTTAGAGATAAAAATATTATAATTTTCAAAAAAAAAAATCTCTGAACTACAATACAATTTGAAAACTCTATAAGATTATACCCTCACTACATGTAAAAATATAACCATGAATCTCTTGAATTCTAGAACGATACCTACAATATTTCATTTAAAAAACATCTAGTATTAATATTTTTATTGACTCAGTTATTATATCCTACTTTAGCAGACATAATGAATCCTAATACACTTGAATAATGCAATGAAAAAAAAAAGGTTAAGAGATCAAAACTTCGGATCCACAGTTGAAAAACTACCAAGTTTAATGATCACCGGCATTTTTTATGCAAATAAGAAACTATACAAAATTAGCCCAAACAATAACCTAAGAATTGTCCAAATGGAAATTCACAAAACAAGCTAAAAACATAAAAAGCACAACTCTATTAGGAGTCACGCCAAAATAGCACTTGTTGTAGCTCCATTGACTAAAATAACTCACGGGTGAAACTAATATGAATATATGTGAGAAAAAAAGGGGGTAACAAATCACCAAATAAGGAATTCCAGCCCCCATACTTGACCAAATAAACAATTTTCCAATTGTGTTTGCACCACACTCGAAAAACTCAGTATCCAACAAGTTCACAAGTTGGATAATATCTAAAGATTTTATCAATGATTGAGAACATGTTTCGTATTTTTCATGTTTCTGATCTTCAAAATCCCAACAGTCTGTTGCGAAAAAATAAAAAAAACGTAGCCACAATAATAATAATCAATATAGAAAATTAAATTACAAGTCCCGCACTCTCCATCGTAACTATACTTTTAAAAAGCCAATTTATGATTGTTCACAGATAACTTTCTAGTAATGATTCCATACTTCTAATCTACATCTGATCAAAGCACATATGGGGAAGCTCAAAAGATTCGACTTTTTAGCATTTCTAATTATTGTACCCCAAAATAATTGACTTAAAATACTGATAAATAAAAAAGAATTTATAAGATTTTAATATAAAGAATAAAGTAGCTGAAAATGAAATCATAGCATTAAACAGACTTAAAAAGGAAATCATGCCCTAACCCTTAGTATCAGGGCCGCTTATTACCATCCTTAATATGAATAGAACAAAGACTTTCAACAAATGCTCTTCAGAGCTTTAGCGGTTTAGAGCATCAGAGCTTAAAGCTAAAATTTATTTTAAAATAACAGATGATGCATATCATAGAGTCTCAGAGTTTCTAAGATATTTCAGTCGTCCAATTGCAATAACTATTGACCCCCCTTCTAATGTTGATTTAAATTCAAAAACAATTCTTAAATGGCATCCAGTATAAAATCAGACAATAATTTTGAAATTGAACATGCAACTAAATCTGATTTTGAATAAAAGTTAGGACTACAACCCAAAATCTCAAAAACTTAAATATTTTGAGATTTTTTTTTTATATTTTGTTTTGTTTTTTATTTTGATTTAAATCAAAACATGTTTAGTATGGTATAGCATGTACACTTATTTTTAAGAACACTCAAAATAAATTTTAGATGTTTTGAATGTTTTTAAAGAAAAAAAATAAAACATACAAAAAAAGCACTAAACATACAAGTTGTTAGCGTAAAAGCAAAAACAAAAATAAAAAATAGAAGTGATACCAAATAAGCCCTAAATTTCCATGATTTTGAAACTAAAAGAATTCCATTGAAGTTGTACAATTTGATCATGTGACTCAGAAGGTAATTGTTGATATTAATCATAAGTACATTAATAAAGCCTGTCTTTGGGTTAATTCCAAGGGTACATAAAGCATTACATGACATTTTTCATCAACATGATACATATAGTAAATGATAAAACTTATTTGTATAATTTGCAAGTTAATCGGAAAAAAATAATTTAAATATTCATATAAAATATATGTTTTAAGTTTTCCTAACTTCCTCTGAAAAATATCTATGGCATAATCTATTCATTAGGATGCTTATAAAAATTCATCAGCATTCGTACATGCACAATATCCTGCAACATTTTCTATTATCCATGTGCACAATTTCCATGAAAACATTAGTTGAAAGCCTATTATTAACCATAACAGTTACAAGTCACTTAGATGATAAAAGATGTGTTTATGGTTAAATAATAAAAATAAGGAGCTTTTACATACATAGCATCCAAAACTTTCATATTTACCTATCTCACACTTGAACTTTCATAATTACAAACGTCATATGAAAAGTAACACTCATAATCATTTTTTATTAGTCAAATTTATCTTTTCATCCATAAGCAAAGTGTTGTGTGTGTAAAAATGAAAGTTTAGGTGTGAGATAAGTAAATCAATAAGAATTGGGTGCCATCTATGTAATTTTTCCTAAAAATAATGTAAATCCATCTAAATCAGAAAATGCGTACCGTTAATAAATAACCTAAAGAAAAATAAAATACTAAAAAGTTATCTGCCGCATTAAGACAAATGCATACAAATCAGAAAATCTCAAACAAATCTATTTCAAAAGCTAAGCTGGTAGAGGATATTAAGGGCATCATACAAGGTAAAACAACATCAGCTGTTTCTAAAGATTAGAGCTTCAGAAGATGTTTCTGAAGATTAGAGCTTCTGGATTCTCTTCTATTTCTTTTTATTTAAATCATCAGTCATATGGTTATGAAAATGTGAAAAAATGAAAATCAAATATATATCTTTGTATTATCCACATAACTAAAGGCGCAAATTGGTGCAGATACATTAAGCGAGGGAGGATTACCTTCACAATGGCTGTAGCCATCTCCCTTAAACTGCACACCATTGAAGAGAGGACACTCGCAAACTCTACCACGAAATGTGTCCTGCAAACTAGCTAAACCATTAGAACTCAAAAATAAGGTCTTCTAGCAAAATTAATCTCAAAAAATTTTTGGTTTATACTTTGCAGGCGGTAATGTTGGAAGCTTTATCTTGCCAGCAACCCCCATTATTATCAAGACATTCATTTGTTTCAATATCTGTCCAAAATGAAGAACAATATTAGCATATGCTGCAATCAAAGAATTTTTTAGGGGGCATTTACAAACATAACACCCAATTTGTATATATTTACATATCTAATACAAAACCTTACTTTTTTACATTTATACCACCCCAAATCTTCCATATCACCCCAAAAATACGACCATTTTAACTTTTAAAAAGTGAGATGCAACTTTTTTATGCATATGTAAGGTGGCATGTATGTAAAAATTAAAGATTTAGGTGTAGATATGTAAATACATAGGAATTGCGTGATATGCATGTAAATTTTCCTTCTTTTATTAACCTTACCATCACTGAGACAAGCAGCAGGCTCAGTGGTTTCCTCAAAGCCAGAACAAATAGCTTTTAGCACAGCTTTTTTCTCCAACTTTCCTGCAATTTGCATGTATCTGGTCAAGGAATAACACAACAAACTGCACATATCCCTTCAATCAAATGTATGATAGTCACAGGACTAACCTCTATACTGTCGATTATTAACAACGAGTGTGGGCAGTATGGTGACATCTCCTCTTGAGCCTTTTCCAATCTATATAAGGATATATTTTTTTAAAATATCAGGCATAAAATTCAGTCATAAAGTTCCTTATTTTACAAAAAATCACACACAAATGTTAGTTAAAAAATTATGCTGCCGCAAGAAATACACGGAAGAGTAGAGAGAGTGTCAAAAAGAATAGGACTGGAAAGACAAGAAAAAAGGGACCTGTGCATCTTGCTCTTCTTTCAAGATAGGATTATCAGCATCTTCATTTGGATCTCCCATACATTTTTTTATCTCATTGGCATCTAGCCCTGTTCAAATGTGAGCCATTAGTAAACTTTATTGCTAGAATCTTCAATGTAGAGCAAAAGAATGAGTGACGAAACAAAATTACAAATCCAATTAAATAAATCACTATAGTTGGATGAACCAACATAATTTAATAACTATTTTTTTTTATTTTGAAGCAAAAAAAAAGTATTGTAAAAGAATAGAAAGTAGACATGAAAAGACACTATTGCACTGAATGCAATAAGCACAAGTATTTGTGGCTGATCATAAAAAGAAAATTTACATATGTAGAACACAATTCTTATGTATTTACATATCTCCACCTTTTCATATTCACAGATATAGCGCTCTGGTGCTTTAAGCCTTTAACCCTATGTATGAAAAGGAGTATTTCAATTATAAAGTGGTAATAGTGCTATTTTTTATGTGAAATTAAAGATTTAAGTTTTATGTGTGTAAATACAAAACTTTAGGTGTGAGATACGCGTAAATACACAAAAACAAATATCTAATTCAGATTAATTAGTATCAACTTGATTATCTATCAATAGGAGAATAAAATCAACCAAACCAAACCCACCTAAAGATTTAATGACAGAATCAGCACATTCTTTGTTATATTTCTTCTGCTTCATAGGACATCTTATGTGAAAATCTGTTACATAATCCCACCAAATCCAAGGCTTCTTGCTCTCATTCGCAACTCTAAACACGCAAAGTTGTCTTAAATTTTCCACAACCACATCCTTTCCATCATATCCCGTGCTAAAGTCTTGCTCAGGATCTGGCGCACAATATCTCCCGTGATTAATGCACTGAGACTTGCATTGTTTACTAAGAAGAAATGCCTCAGGGCAGTACCATGTAATGTAATGAGGGGTAAACTGACTAAAGCCACCTTTCTCGAGCAACTGAGCAGCGCCCTTAAAATCCCTCGTAAATTCCATCAACATGTCGCATTTGGCTCCACACTCATCATTGCTATTCGTCCACAGCTCGTACTCCACACGTTCATCCGGATGAGGAACAGCTTCACGCCAATCCAAGTTAACATTGACCATTTCACCACTGGAGATAGCTTTCTTTAATTCTTGCCCGAACTTCTTGTCAATGAGGGCTGAAGGAATAGTTACATTTTGAATATATTTTGCAGCTTCGTCATCTTCGTGGGGTAAATCCATGGTTATCAGTGGCTCGTTTGTGTCATCAACAACAAGAACGGCAGAAGCACCGGCATTCTGAGCATTCCACACCTTCTTAGCAAATACACAATCTATAAATGAGAAAAACAAACAAGAAATAAGTTAATTATACTGAGTTCGTCGCCAAAAAGAAAACCGAGAAAAGGAATGGCAAAATCAGCAAATTAAACAGAATGACTTTCAGCATTTAAGGATGTCAATAAAATGGACTGAAGTATTTCGGATAGAGTTTCCAATGTTCTTGGAGGCAAGACATTAGAAAAGCATAATACAAGCATAATAGAAATTAAGTCTTACATATATACCACACAACTCTTATGTATTTACATATCAAAACTGTAAACTTTCATATTTACATACAAAACTCTCTAAGCTTTAATATCAAATAAAAAATACCACTACTACGAAATATTTAAAAGTGAATTACACTTTTTCATGCATAGGTTCATGACACCAGAGCATTATAAATGGAAACATCAAACATTAGGTGTAAGATATGTAAATGCAAAAGATTTGTGGTATGTATGAATTTCACTTAAAAGTAAATGGCTCCAGCTCACAGACTACACATCATTGACCGGAGTAAAGGCTAAAGCAGGGAACAAGTGAGCAACTGAAAACATAACATATCATAAGAATCAAATAAGCAGGAAAGTTATGCCAGTTATCCACTTTATCCATAAATGTGGATCAGATAGCTGCGTCATTGCTATGAAGCAGTTTTGCCACTAATGCTCACAAAAGTATGTTTCTTCATATCCACATGTTTACTTGAAACATTCATTTTCTATACGTAAGTTGAGCATATGGCAAACTAAAATAAAAATAGTACTTTCCACTGATGTCCCCAATATTTCATGAACAGAAAGCCGTTCAAAATTCACCAAAAAGCAGAATCTTTCCCACAAAGCCATGGCAAACTAAACTTTGGATTAAACCAGCTGCACAAGGTGAAGGAGGGTTTACCTCCGCGATCGACGAGCAGGAAAGTAGGCATAGCGCCTGGCTTGCTCCGAAATGAAGAGCTGAACTCATCACACGCCAACCGATTATCCTTCGGGTAAACCACCGTCCCCGACATACTCCCTCCATACTGCGGTATCCCAAAGTTCCCGATGGCACTGTCGTGCTTCCCCCGCATATCCGATGGGGCCGTCACCATCAAACTGTTCTTTTCCACAACAAACCTCCCCGCAACAGGAAACACCGCCGACATAAACGCCGTCAACACAGCCACGACAAACCCTAGCAGCCGGCGCCGACTCTGCTGAACGCCCCCCATCCCTCTCGCTCCCGCCGGCGAATTGGATGGGGAGGAGGAAGAGTGGAATTTAACCGATCCAAGTAAACTACCGCGAGAGAATTTGGAAGTAGGTTTTATCGCCCAGCAGAAAGGAGAGGTTTTTGGTCCTATTCAGTTGTCGATCATGAGAAGTAATGGTGTCCGGTAGTCCAAGAGGGTGCTTCGCATAGGTAATTTATGCGGGTGTAATATTGAGCGTTGGATTTGGATGGTGTTGAAGATGACCGTGGATGCACCGAAGCGCATGGAAAAGGACGAGGATACAATGTGCGGTTGAGGTACTTGCATTGGATCCCGCCACGTTTTGGGCATGTGAAAGCCCTGAATTTTTCCAATCAAATGACAATAAAATTTGAGAGGAATAATGTTAAATTTAATTGGGTATATAATAAATATTTAGGAGATGATAATTACCTGATTAGAAGAAATTAAAATTCATGAAATTTTGAAAATTCCTCCTTATTTGCTTCTTTCATTTGGGAGCTTCAACAACCTAAGATATTTAATTAAAATTTTATATTATAATAATAATATTTTTTTTCTATACTTTTTTTTTATTCTTATTAAATTTAAGTTTGCAGTGTAACTCAAATATATGTTTGTGACTCTAAGATCATCTGATTGATCTTGATGTTCTGTTTTTATCTCCCCCACAACCAAGAATCAACATTGTTCTTGATGGTCCTCTTGCAACTCATTATCTCCCCCACAACCAAGAATCAACATTGTTCTTCAACCCATTGTTTTTATCTCCCCCACAACCAAGAATCAACATTGTTCTTGATGGTCCTCTTGCAACCCATTGTAGCTAGATCCATTGTAACAACCAACATTGTTCTTGTCATAACTTACCACATTAGATTTGATGCCAAGTTACTCAGGCCTTGTAGATCGCATGGAAAATTTTTGCATAGCAGTCAAACAATTGATAATATCAGCTCCAATCCACCCAACACCATCCATAACATCACTTATGATTTTCAGTTGTTGTAGTGTTGATGCCAACAAGAAACACATTGTTGTCTGCCTCATCAACGTATGTCTTTCATGGCAAAGCACAAATCTCTTGCTCATAGCCAAATATAGTTGAAAAACGCAGCTTTTAGCTGTAGCTTTTTGAGAGCGCAGTCTAAACGCAATTTTATCAAATAGTAAAAATTACGGGGCAGCACCGCACCACCGCCCCAAACACGCCCTTAATATTATTATAATTGCATATATCTTGCAAGAATCTCAGCAGATCTCTACAAAATTTCATTTTCACACAAGAACATTACCAAATCTCCACCTCATGTAAGGACTCCTTGATGGTGTTAGATTTCGATGCTAAAATAGGATTCTATCAAACCTAAATTTGGATCCATTGCTTGGAACCTACACTTGCACCACAACCACTTTTTATTCAAAACCTCAACGATATTTGACCAAATTTTTATTGTTGATCATTTACAACACTATCTATTCGTTAAAATGCAACACCCTCAATGGCACATGTATAGTTAAATGCAACAAGAGCCCTGAATGATTGTACAACATTATTATATGATCAAAGCAAATATTATCATTATATGATTGAGACAATACATAGGAACTAGTTGAAGGAGGTTTCTTAAGATTTTAATAGAAATTACAAACATTCATTTCCTAAACATTAAATTTAAACCCGTTCTTTCATGTAAGAGAATTCTATTTAAATAAAAAAGTGTTACGAGATCTGCATAAAGTTAGAGCTCTATTTCTCGCTTGACATTAACCATCACCATTAGCAACCAATGTCGCCAAATTGCTATCACCTAATTGTTATTAATTGTAATTGTCGTTGTTTGTTTGTCGTGTTCTAACTAATATCACTTGACCATCATAGCTCATTTACTATCATTTAACCATTATCACCTAATTATTATGTTTGATTATTATCACACAATCATCAATGTTTGACTGACATATCGACCCGCTATCATTATCCTTCAATACTTCTCAGCATCCTCAACTATGATTATAAGATATCAAGTTATTGGCCTCAATTTATAATCTCATGTTCTATAATTATAAAAAATAGTTGGACTTTTGTAATATTTATTGTTATTTATATAATGGATCATTTAATTGGAGTTAAATCGTAAAACCCAATTGAAAGACCAAATGACACCTAAAATACCTGGGAAACCTTTCATTCAAATTTCGCATTTTTTTTAATTTTTCTAATAGCAAATAATTGTTATTTATTCACTAGTTAAGGGCAGAGTCTTCTTCTCTAAAATTGGTAGCATTCCTTCGAGATAAATATAAGATGAAGTAGTTCATATCGCCATTAGAAAGAACTACTTTAAGATATGAAGATTTAAATAATTACCACTCGAGTCTTATTCTTATATCACAGAAAAATTAAATGATCAATCCTGAATCTCGATACATTTTTAATAAGAAATCTTTCAAATTAAAATTCATGATTATCCAAGTTCTAATGTTATCATAATAAAACTAAGTGTATGGGAAAGATGAACCAAACAACATTTAAACTATGTTAATTTGAGTCTAATCAAGCCAAAATCAAGTCATTGAATAACAATTGGGATTTTGGATCATTCATTAAATGACCAAATGAGCTATAAATTTGACATATTTATAGTCAAATTAAGCATCGCGATGAAAGGAATTCAGCAAGCCTATGAACACTCATATCTAAGGCCATCAAGGCACCAAAATTTTTTAAAAAATTACATGTGATCAATGGAAATTATAATGAATAATCTGACCACATTGTTAGGAAAGTTATGTGTTAAAAGATAAAAATGCCCCATTTGTTCACTTAAGGGGATGAGAAGATGAGGATGAGAAGTGAAATTCCAAAGTCTATTATGGAAAGAAGACTTGACGAGTAGCCATTAGTCTCAACAGTTGCTAGTCATTGTTGAACATCAGCTTCCATAGATGTCAACTACCATCAATTGTCACCACATTTCGTTGTCGTCCACTAGCTGTCAGTCAGCACTATTTGTACTCGTTGTAGCCAGACTATAATCATCGTTGAATTGTCTAACACTTGTAATTTTTGAGCTATATAAAAACAAATATAGATTTTTGTGTAAAATTTTACCCTCATTCTCCTTATAATGTGAGAATGGGTTTAGGGTTTAGCGTAGCCCTAAATCTTAAACCCTAAACTTAAAAGATAGTTTTGATTGGACTAGACATCACGATTTGTTTGGGCTAGGCCCAGTTGTTTTTTTCTCTTTCAATTTATTGTTGTCATCTCTCACTATTCAGTTGTTTTTTTCTCTTTCAATTTCTTGTTGTCGTCTCCCACTACTTTTATATTATTTGTACGTGTGTTGAATTTTAGTGCAATGCTAAAACGTTAAATTATTGATCTATAACCGTGATTTTTTCGACACACAACACTTATGTTTTTACATATCCGACACTTAACCGTCAATTTTTATATACATGTGATACTACACACGCATAAAAACATTCATTTCACTTTTTAAAGACAAAAATATTAGTGTCTTTTAATGTGATAAAAAATAAAGCTTAATATTAGAAATGTAAACACACAAAATTTGAGTGGTACATATGTAAAAACACTCCCTTCAAGATCCAACGATTTACAAATAAACTAAAAATGGGGAATAAGAGAGAGAGAGAGAGAGAGAGAGGAAAAATTATTTGGAAAGGATCATTTATATGTGCTAAATATATTTAGAGTGTATTTTGGATGTATTCAAATGGAGAAAATATTTCATTCGAGCACCGCACGCCCGAACAGTCAATCACAAACGGCCTGTCATACACATCATCAGCGGCTAACATGACGGGCAGTGATTAGCCATCATGTTCGTCCTCATTTATATGTGCTAAATATATTTAGTGTATTTTGGATGTATACTAACGGAGAAAATATTTCATTCGGGCACTGCATGTCCGGACAGTCAATCACAAGCGGCCTGTCATACACATCATCAGCGGCCAACATGACGGGCAGTGATTAGCCATCATGTTCGTCCGGATGGAATATATTTTCATTCCAATGAGCACACTTAAAATATATATCAAGAAAGAGAGTGCGTGTGTGATTAAAAAGAAAGCTAACAGTGTGATTCCTCCTAGCCCCCTTGAGATTTCGATCGATGCGGTTAATTAAGCCCATAGAGAGGGCGAGGGGGCAATCAAATGCGGCCTACGCACCTCGCTCACCATGCAACGGACTTCACCGCAATCGCCAACCTCTTCGCCGGCCATCTCCAACTCCTCGCTTCCCAAACCTCCCGTCTTCCCCACTCCTTCCTCCGCCGCCTCCGCTCTCTCCACGCCCATCTCCTCTTCTCCGGCTTCAAACCCCATAGGCACATCATCAACCGCTTCATCGACCTCTACGCAAAGCACGGAGACATCCCATCTGCTCTTCATCTCTCCCACACCTCCCTGCGCCTCGACGTCGTCGCCCAGACCTCCCTCATCAATGCCTACTCCAACTCCGGCGATCTCCTCCACGCACGCAAGGTGTTCGATGAAACTCCTATGGCTGTCCGCGACACCGTCTTCTACAATGCGATGATATCTGGTTACTCCCGTGCCAGCGAAGGTCCGCCGGCTGTCGTGGTTTTCCGCAGCATGCTCCGGGATGGATTCCAACCTGATGATTACACATTCACCGGAATTCTTAGTGCGGCCGCTTATCTCATTAATCTGGACCTTGTACAGTGTCAGCAGCTCCACTGCCCCGCCGTGAAGGTGGGAACAGAATCAGTGGTTTCTGTTTCAAATGCTCTCATAGCGTTGTACGGCAAATGCGAGTCTTTTGTAGCCGGGCTAACTGCACGCGAGGTGTTTGATAAGATGACTGAAAGGGATGAGCTGACTTGGACGACCATGGTTGTCTGGTACGTCAGAAAAGGCGATGTCTTTTCTGCACGCCAGGTGTTCGACCAAATGCTGGATAGGTTTGATGTTGTCTGGAATGCGATGATCTCCGGATATGTTCACCATGGACTTTTCACAGAAGCTTTTGAAATTTTTCGAAGAATGCTCTTCTTAAACCTCCCTCTTGATGAATTTACTTATACCAGTGTGCTCAGCGCTTGCGCAAATGCCGGTTTGTTTCGTCACGGCCGGTCTGTGCATGCTAGAATTATCCGCCACCAGCCGTGCTTTGATCCAAAATCTTCTCTACCGGTTGAAAACGTTTTGGTTAGCCTGTACTCAAGATCCAGCAAGATGGAGCTTGCAAGAAGAATTTTTGATGGAATTCTCATGAAGGATTGTGTTTCCTGGAACGCAATTTTATCAGGGTACGTGAATTCAGGCCAAATGGACGATGCTCGCGCCATATTTGAGGTCATGCCTCGCGACATCCAGCTTCCATGGACGGTAATGATGTCGGGACTGGTTCAGAGCGGGCTTCCAGAGGAAGCCCTGAAGCTTCTTAATCGAATGAAAGCCGAGAAAGTGAAGCCATGCGACTATACCTACGCAGGAGCCTTCTCTGCTTGTGGAGATCTCGGAGCACTGGAACATGGCCGGCAGCTTCACGGACAGCTAATTGGTTTTGGCTATGAATCCAGTAATTCAGCAGGTAATTCCCTCGTGACAATGTACGCCAAGTGCGGAGCGATCGATGAAGCTCATCAGGTGTTCCTCGTCATGCCCAATTTAGACTTCGTCTCGTGGAATTCAATTATCGCCGCCTTCGCGCAGCACGGCCATGGAAACGAGTCCATCGAGCTCTTCGAAATGATGATTAACGAAGGCATCCAGCCAGACCGACTTACTTTTCTCACTGTGCTCACTGCCTGCAACCATGCCGGCTTAGTTGATGAAGGTTTCCAATACTTCGAATCAATGCAGCATGATTATGGCATTATACCCGGAGAAGATCATTATGTTCGATTGATAGATTTGTTGGGACGCGCCGGGAGGATCGAAGAGGCTAACGATGTGATCGAAAACATGCCATTTGAACCAGGTACGGCAATATGGGAATCAGTTCTCGCCGGTTGCAGAACACACTGTAACATGGATCTCGCCGTCCGTGCAGCAGATCAGCTCTTCAACACCATGCCGCGACATCACGGTTCATACGTTCTTCTATCGAACATGTACGCATCTTCGGGGCGATGGGAGGACGTGGCGAGGGTGAGGAAGATGATGAAGGACAGAGGGGTGAAGAAGGAGCCTGGGTGCAGTTGGATCGAAGCCGAGAGTAAGGTGCATGTATTTCTCGTTAGTGATGCAACGCATCCTGAAGTTTACAGAATTTATAGATTCATGGAGGTGCTTGGAGCGAGGATGAGGAAGATGGGATATGTTCCGGATACCAGATATGTGTTGCAGGATGTTGAATCGGAGAGGAAGGAGTATGTGATTTCGACGCACAGCGAGAAGTTGGCGGTGGCTTTCGGGCTGCTGAAAGTGGCTGGAGGAGCTAAAGTTAGGGTTTTGAAGAACTTGAGGATATGTGGGGATTGCCATTGCGCGATCATGTTCATGGCGCTGGCCACTGGGAGAGAAATTGTTATCAGGGACGCGAAGAGGTTTCATCATTTTAAGGATGGGGAGTGTTCATGTGGTAATTATTGGTGAATTACACCTTTCTTTTTTTTATTTTTATACCAACCATCATATCAAAAATATCATCATTTTTTCATGTAAATTTTTATGACCTTGTTTATATCATATAAAAAATATCATCATTTTTTCATGTAAATTTTTATGTACGTCTTTCATAAATTTAATCTTAAATATATGCAAAATCTTGATTGAAAGATGGATCTTTTAAACACCAGGACAAGGTGGCTTGAGTGAATACCATCATTTTAATTTTCTTAATATAGAATTGATACGCCACTAATAAATGCTCATCATTTAGCACGAATCTTAAGGCATACACGGATCTCGAGGCAACCTTTTGAACAAAAAACATTTAAACTTCAATCAAAAGTCATCCAGAACTCTGATTTCAGTAAAATTATATTCAAACTGACCGGCTCGATGAGACGGACCCAATGATATAAAAACTAGTCCAATCAGAGTCAAACAGGTTCGGATCAAGTCATTAAACCACTACTACAGGATTTCTGAAGGCATTTTAAAGGTCAAACGAATGTAGAATTTAGCGAGTTTATAGTCGAATCGAGCATCTCAAAAAGACGAATCCAACGAGCTCAAGATTGCTCAATTCCGACATCGTTAAGACACTCAAATGTTCATCAAACGTCATATGATCAAGGGAAGCGCTTCGGGCCGTCCGATCAAAATGGTTCATATTTCTGCTTTAATTGCACTCAAAACACTATAAATAGAGCCTCACCCCTCACATGAAGGGGAGAAGCCTTGAGAGAGAACTTGAGGTTTTGAGAAGGAGCTCAGGTCCAAGATCATCCTCGCCATCGTCGATCGCCGTCGACCACCACTGACCGTCGACAACGGATCACCGGTGACCTCTGTCAACCACCGCTTACTAGACGTAATCAATCGACGTTATAACGTAGAAAGCTAGTAACCATTTCCCGCTTGTGGGACAATGGACATCTGTAATCATCATATTATAGTGGATTTTTACAACTGGGTCAGACCCCGTGGTTTTTCAGACCCCGTGACCCCGTGGTTTTTCCCTTTTTACGGGTTTTCCACGTAAAAATTTTTGGTGTTATTACAGTTTGATTCATTTTCATCTGAGTGTATGCTGAATTTTCGTGCAACGCTAAGACGATAATTCATTACTCTACCGCCGCGAATTTTCTAGCACGCATCAAGAATATATTTTTCACAGTTAAGGGGGCATGTTTTGGTGTTAGATATGTAAATGCACAAGAACTGAGTGGTGTATGTATGTAAATCGTTGTTATTCTATTTTGTGTTTATGATGTTTATAGATAGCCATTCTTATGCATGTATGGAAAAAAAATTGCATTATTTAATGAGAAAATATTTTCTTTTAAATATTCCAAATTATATATAAAAGAATTCTCTTAAAAATATTCCAAATTATATATCACACCTAAATTTTGATATTTATATATAAAACACTTTGGTTTTTTTAATTTTATGCATGAAATGTGTAATTTACTTTAATAAATATTTAATAACGTTTTTTTTTTTTAGAGATATTTGTATTGCAGGTTTGAGTTCTATGTGTGTACATATGAAAATTTAAGTATGAGTTATGTAAATACATAAAAATTATGTGCTATATATATGTAAATCATAGCCTACCATGCATATATATAAATATGCAATTTTGTTGTGAGATCTGTCTTTGAATCCATAAGAATTGAGAGTTATGTGTCACGGACAAATAGTCCCACATCGGCTAGTTGTAAGACCGAAAAACAGTATTTAAGTCCTGGGCTGCCCACCACCCACAATGGCTCTTTTGGGAGGTGACAAACAGCTCTTCAAAATGCAATAAAGATAGCTAATCTATGATAGATGTGTGGACTCTCCATGGTCCAGTGGTACCCTCGGTGGAGCTGATCAGTGACGAGGGCGTCACGTGATTGGGTGGAGGAGAATGTGACGGACAAATAGTCCCACATCGGCTAGGTGTAAGGCCGAAAAACAATATTTAAGTTCTGGGCTGCCCACCACCCATAAAGGCTCTTTTGTGAGGTGACATATGTCTGTAAATGCTCCTAATCTTTTAAAGTGAAACACATTTTTCATACATATAAATTGGCACGATCATAATATTAAGATCACTAGATAATCAATATTTAATTTTATAGTTTAAAATGTAGATATATAAAAATATTTAATATGTATTGAAATGTGATAAAAATTCCCATTTTTATCACATGGGCCAAGAGTTTATAGACGGGGCTATCTTCTGCTAAAATTCTTGCCCACGATCCCGCGATGAAACCACCTGAAACTATTCCCGCGGCAAAAAACTACCGTTTTTTTATTTAACTTCCATTTCCGACCCCAACCCGGGCTTCCCCTGCACCAAGATCCCAAACACCTTTGATGGAGTTCCCCAAAATCCCATTCTCTCTCCCCAGCCTCTTCTGCCCGGAAGACGGCAGCCTCCTCGCCACCGACAAAGACGACGGCGAACTTGACGACGGCTTCATATTCTTCAACGATTCCTCCTTCAACCAAACAGACGAGCAGTACATTGATGTTCTCTTCTCCAAAGAGAGCTCTTTGCTCTGCCACCACCTATCTGCAAAGGAAACCTATTTGCTCCCCGACAGATCCGAATCCGTCCGGTGGATTCTCAAGGTGAGTTATAATCACCGCATACGACTTGTAAAAGTTCGATCTTTTTTATTATTAATGTGTGTTTCTGCTCTGATTCAGATGAAATCCTACTTCCGTTTCGGCTCTCAGACCGCTTACCTCGCAGTAACTTACATGAACCGGTTCTTTCTCCGACGGGCAATCGATGTAAAAATGCTAACTTTATGTTATTTGATTGTTTATTTCTTCTGGGACTGATGGATGGTTCTGTTCTCGACCTTTTTCATTGATTAGGAAGAGAAGAACTGGGCCACGAGGCTTTTGTCAATAGCTTGCTTATCTTTAGCAGCGAAGATGGAGGAGTGCTCCCCGCCATTGTTGCCTGAGTATTGCTTAGAAGATTCGTGGTTCAGTAGCGAGTCGATACGGAGAATGGAGCTCCTTGTGTTGGACACGCTGGAATGGAAACTGCATTCAGTGACGCCATTTGCTTACTTCAGTTATTTTGCATCAAAGTTCAATTTTAATCGTTGTTCCAAGGATCTATTCTCTAAGGCCACTTCATTCATTTTCCTTGTTCTTGAAGGTGCTGAGTATTTGCAGTTTTCGATGCCCATTATCAACGTTTCAAATAAAAAATGTCATTTTTATTGATCTTTTAATCCAAATCCAGCCATGAACTTGATGCTTTACCGCCCTTCAGCCATATCTGCGGCGGCCATCTTGGCTGCATCAGGTGACCGGTTGACAAAGACTTCATTGGAGTCCAAGATTTGCTCAACCTCAATCTCTGAATCTCTAAAAGTAGTAAGCTAAATATTCCTAAACCAGAGAAAATTATAATTTTGATTCAAAGACAGTTCTGCATCTGTTATTTCTTGTTACAGGAGCAAGTCTTCTCCTGCTATAATGCAATGATTCAACAGTCCAACAAGAAGAAGAAAATTGGATCAAGAAAAACTTTATTTTTATCGGATGCATCAGAAAATTGTTCTAAGCGGAGAAAACTGCAATAATTAATGTATTTAAATTACAGAACGTAAGCAGATCTTTCTCAAACTGTCTGCAGTAGGAAGATAACTGAAAGATGGTAGAGAAAGTGAATCTTTTTTGATTGAGATGGAAGGAATGAACCAATGAAGAATAGTTTATATATAGCCGCTGTTATTTTGTTAACAATTTCATTATATTAATTTTGTTGAATTTGTAATTTTCATTTTATTTTTTTGGTGGTGTGTAAAGATTCTAATGGGCTCAGAGAGGTGTGGGTGTATGCTAAACTGCTTCTTTATTTATGTTGTTGAAAAGACCAAGCAGAGAGGAGTGTTGGTCTGTACCTGCTAGAAAAGTAGGGGATGAGTGTGACTATATGTAATTTGTTTCTTTTTTAATTTTATACTTGAATGGATCATATATATATATAATGTATACTGTGTAATTTCAGCAGCTTATTTTTCTATATTATTTTGAATAAAGGATTACTAATAACAAATCAAAATAACTTATAATGAACAAACTGAATTCATATATATGGTCTAATATGAAAAAGAGAATTTAGGTCATTTGGTCTTCAACCATTCAAGTTTTTCTTGTAGTATATTGTGTAGTGATGTGGCTATCGTGGGCATGTAATGAAATAATTGTCTGAAGAACCACATGATTTGTGGTTGGTCATTAGAGCCATTTGTATCACGATATATCCATGAAATCCACCAGATAGATTTGACTTGACGGATTGAAGTTTCGGCTATCACTTTTCTAGGAGCTGATACGCACGTCAGACCAGTTTGCAGAGTTTTGCACGGACCAGTGATCCTTGGGATTGATAAATAGTGGAATTAAAGATTGTTGGGAAAAACAATCCGAAAACTCATTTCTTACTCCCTTGCACGATACCGCCCTTTCTTCCTTTGGTTCGTAGGCCTCAGGAGGTGGAAGTCTTTTGTTCCTTCAGTTGTCGAAGCCACTAAGTAGCAAGGATTGCTGGTTGTCAGAGCCTGGAAGTCACTAGACTTTCACTGTTTGCGAACACGCCACACCGAGAGGGATAAAGGGAAAGACGAATAGAGAGACATTTTTTTTAATGGAAAATCGAAAAATTAGCTTCCCAAACTGCGAGGAGCAAAACTGTTTCAAGAGGGCGGGAACCACAACAATGATCCCACATTAAACAAATGCTCTATCATCACTGATGAGCCGCCTAAAATCTGTGTTGCGATCTTCTCGGCAAGACATCACAGGAAAATCTCGTACCATACAGACCATAATTTTATATTATTTACACTTTCAATATTTTTAGGAGGAGGAAGAAAAAAGAGAATTCAATCAATCATTCGCTTTGGTTTGTCACACTCTTCATCTCTCTCCTTTTTCTAGCTTCTGATGAGAAATTAGGACATCCGACTTGCCAGCGGAGAATCCTAGAAGAAAAAAGAGTTTAGGCCTTAAGAATGCTTCTATCCTCTTCTCTCATCCTCTCCACACGTCCCTCCTGAACTGTATGGACCCATAGACAACAAGAGACTCATTGAAATAAAAAGAAACATATATTGTGAGAAGTTGTGGAGTTTTAATATTTGACAAATGTGCTACTTAAATTAGCCTCATTATCTAGCATTAGAAAACTATGTTTATAATTCTTTAGCATCATATTATATTATCCAAAATAATATTTTAAAAATGAATTCACTTATGTTATTCACCCATGAGAATCAATAATAATTACTTAAATTAACGTTAATTCGAATCAAATGAGACCTTAAAACCATAAAGAATTATCCCACGACTTCATCAATAATTTACTTTTATTTTCTTATGAACTCTTAAAAGATACAGTAAAATCAAAAGATAATTTTCATGAAATATGATGCGTGCTAGAAAATTCGCGGCGGTAGAGTAATGGATTATCGTCTTAGCGTTGCACGAAAATTCATCACATACTCAGATGAAAGTGAATCAAGCTATGATCACACCAGAAATTTTTACGTGGAAAACCCGTAAAAAGGGAAAAACCACGGGGCCTTGCCCAGTTGTAAAAATCCACTATAAGATGATGATTACAGATGCCCCTTGTCCCACAGGCGGGAAAGGGTTACTAGCTTTCCACGTTATGACGTCGACTGATGACGTCCAGTAAGCGGTGGTTGACGGAGGTGAGCGATGGCTAACAACAGTCGGTGACGGTCTTAAAAAGACAGTGTTCCACATGTCGGGCGACGCTTTTAATAACGATTGATAGATGTTCTTACTGGTCATGATATTCTGCTCCGATGACCGTCTTGGCGTAATCAAGTTAGCTAGACCATCCTTTTGAGATGAATATAACCATTTCAATAGGCAAACTTGGTTAGACAACTTTGGCAGGTGAGCTCGATTCAACCACTTCGACGGATGGGTTTGATTCAGGAAAGTAAAAAATTTTTGTATAATCATATTTGTGTATACATTTGGTGTATAATTGGGTTCCTACTAATTATTAATTTATTTCATTAGTTAGATTAAAACTATTCAATCTTAAGATACAGTGGTAGAGTTAGAGTTTCTTTTAGCAGGGGTTATAAATTGGACATCCCTTTTAATAGATATTTATAATTCTATATTTGTGGAAGTGAATAAATTAAAATTTATAATTAATTAGGAAAGCAAATTTCTTACACTCATCATAACTTGTTTACAACATATTTGAAGTAAACCCCATTATTAACAAAAAGCCCTAATTCAAAATTACTGGATTTGCATAAAAACATCATCTTTTTCACTTCTATTCATTTTGAAGCAAAAAATATAACTAAAGGATTTATCATCACTAAGGAGCCTGACTGCTCCAGCTTAACAAGAGCTGAGGAGGTGGCCTACCTAACTCATCAACCTACACTGATTCGAAAACAACTCAAAGTCTATTGGAATGGCTCATAAATTAGCTAAAGGGGATGAAAAGCTCAGATCTTGTGCATGATTATTCGATATAAGCTAATCAAACATTAGTTTTCAACAAATTCATTCAAAGACATAACCATAAATTCATCAAACAACAAATTCAGATCATATCACAACATGTTGGCATATCATCTCCTCACTCTTCCGTTTGTCTCGTCGCTCAAATACCGGAGCTGCACATGATCAACTAAGCCACATGAGACGTTATGACCTTGTATATGTTTTAAAGATAAGCTCCTATATCGAACCTTATATCATATTATTATTCTAATATTTATTTCTATACATATCTTCGTGATACTTTTATATATATACACGAGATGTTCTATGTTTTATGTACAAAGAGCGTGGAATATAAAGTTTCATATAATAGAATTATAGAAGATCAAATTTTCTCTCTCTCATTTTCAATATAGCACATCATATTATTATTATTATTATTATTTTTTTTATTAATGACTTATGATAGCATGTATTAAAAAAATAATATTAGGTACATACAAATAGAGACGTTTTTCGGTGGTATTCAGAGGGTACTCGAGGGATACGAAAAGAAACTCTCTTAGGGTCTGTTTGGCGCAACTGCAGATTCTCAGCATTTCAGCTGCAGCTGCGCCGGCCCACGAAG